TCAATGCACTGTCAATGCTTGAGCATAACACTATGAAAATAATGCGAGCAGTTTAGTTCATGTATATTATAATGTTATAGCGTATAATCGCATCGGCAAAAACCGGGTCCGTCACAGGGCTGGACACCCAAACCTCTTTCAATCATAAGACACGTCTGTTTATGAAATCTGTTAAACGCTTTGTCAGTGCTGTCCATACTTTTTGGACTCCACAGTCTTTCAGCCACAGCCGATGCTCGCGGCCTAAGGATTGACACAAACTTTATATATTAATTCAAAATATATAAAATAAATACCATGTTCTGCTAATAAAATTGCCCCCGTTCATATACTCGGCCCAAAGGGCAGCCTCACCGCCGATGACCAGTTTGTTTTGCTCTTCAGTACCGTTGAAACTGTGGGGTTCGCACCGGTAGTAGTCCTTCCAGTCTTGAACGCCTGTCTCCGCACCCGATTGCTTGAAACTAATCAAATCCAAATACCAACACGAAGACAGTATAGCTCTATAACCCTTAGCGGTTACGTTACGCAACTCCGGGCGCCAATACTTCTCTTTATCGTCACCCCAGGAACCGATCCACACGTGGACAACAGTGTCCGGCTTCAACTCTACACCGTTGTTGAACACTTCCTCCCAAATTATATAACTTTTATTAAGTTTTTTTACTATATTCAACACTCTTTGCATGTAATAGTCCTCTAGTTTTGCATAAGTTGTTATGTTTTTCTCTTTCATAAACTTATTGATGTCTGGATTAGACTCCCAACAGCCAAAGTCCACTTCATCGCCACCCAAATGAATATATTGGTCGGCGAAAGTGGTGCCGACTTCGCTAAACAGTTCCTCCAAAAACGTGTAGACATTCTCTTTAGTGGGATCTAATGGTCCGGTCTTTCCGTTTTTGGTGCCATTAGTGTAACATTCGGTGAGAATCCCCTTCTGTCCCCTTCCCCAAGAGGTCGTGTGTCCGGGAGTATCGAATTCAACCAATACTCTAATACCTCGTTGTCTCCCGTATTCAATCACATTCTGGACATCTTGTGGTGAATAGANTCCGGGAGTATCGAATTCAACCAATACTCTAATACCTCGTTGTCTCCCGTATTCAATCACATTCTGGACATCTTGTGGTGAATAGACATGTGTTTCGGGATTATAGGCGCCCTTAAGACTCAAATCGGGAAACTTTTTGCTCACATATGGAAACGATTGCTCGTCAACGATATGCCAGTGAAGGACATTAAGTTTATTATAGGCCATCGCATCCAAGTTCTCGTATAAGACATGCATTGGCATAAAGTGTCTGGAAGTGTCCATTAATATACCTCTGTATGCAAATCGGGGGAAATCTCTGATATCTGTTTCATTGATAACGAATTGGTTTTGTCCGACATTTGAGACCAATTGAGAGAATGTCTCCAATCCTCTGATCGCACCCCAAATGGTGTCGGACTCGAGACGAGCCGTTCGGGCGCTTCCGTTGACCACAAGATTGTATTTCTCATTCATCTCCAGATGCGGTAACTTTTCGCAAGATTTTACATCGATTTCAATACCACTTAAATCTCCTTTGAAATTGGCGTTGAGCTGATAGTTTTGGCTATTTTGATAAAAGGGTTTATAATCAGTGGCACCAACTCTAGCACAGCCCTGAATGAAAGCCGATTTTTTAGTTCTGGTGATGGCATCACTCAGAAGATCGCATTTGTTCACAGATTTATCAGTGAAGACAAACTTTGTTGAGTCTATTTGCAAAAAGTTTGGGCTCGAAGTGGCGTCTTGTGGGTGAGGCCACACATCCACCTCTCCGTCCACTGCCTGTAAACAATTATTAATTAATTACAACAAAATTAATTTTATAACTATTGTTAATATAATATACAATTTCATACCTGGCTTTGAATCAAAGCAAACAACGCGTAAAACTTAATAAAATACAAGACAAACATTTTGCCTCAAAGGATGGCCGAGAAATGAAATAAAAATTTTCCGTAAGATATTATATAATCAATTGTTTTTGTAAATTTCCAAACGATAAGCGCATACACTTGAAAATACTTTATCCCATAATTATATCCATTCGCTACTAATATAACAATAATATCTATATTAGATTAAAATAAATTTTATCATCAAAAGGTATTACATAAGTCAGATCTTTAAAACACAGGTACAGGTATTTTGCATTAAATTTGTGTCAAGTATTGGCTTAAAAGTGATTTACAACTAATGACAAGAAACATATTTTTCAGATATTAAGGAATTCTTATTCCTTACGATTACAGACAGTTGTCGACCACTTTTAAGTCCATAATAGACTCTAAATATGATTGCAGTTATTATTACTCTATTTTATTGATTTATCATTCATTACTTGGAATAACAAAGTTTTCCAACTTAATCAATATTGTATAATAATTATCAACATAACGTATTAAATTTTATATCTGTTTAATGGCAAATGCACCTAAAGTAGTATAATTAACTTTAAAAACAGAAACTATATTTTTTAATAAATTCTATAACTTCATCAACAATACAATTACATAGAATTTAATAGGTTTTACAATATAATTTCACTTTGATTTGGATAACAGATTGGACTGAAGTACAAGTCTGTGAGTATTTAACTTACTTTATGGGCTATTAATGAAATAAAACAGTTTTAAAGTCAATCACCTGCCAAAAAATATTCCATAGTTTAGTAATACTAAATTAGTCTATAATTTCTGTGAATAATTTTCATGTAACATTTAATGTATAATATAAATGTATGTAAATCAAAATTATTAATGAACTTATATTAAAACTGATCCATTATTTGCAACCAATGAGATAACTTCCGGCAATCAATACAAGTATTTTCACAATAAACTGATAAATTATTTAATGTTTTAATTTATTGAAATTTAATAAAAGTTTATTTATCACAAAAACATTATTCATCCAAAATAAATAAGTTATAAAAAACCCCCGTTCAGAAAATAAGCTATTATATCAATCCATTACAATATAAGTATTATTTAATACAAAATTGTTATAAATAATTTGCACAAAATATAAGAATCGGAGGAAAACAGTACTTTCAACGATCACATCATGAGAGGGTGTAATCGCACCGACAATAACCCGGGCCTTCATTGGGCTCTAATCGGAGACCCCTTTCAATCAAAAGGCAGTTATGTTTGTGAAACCGTTTGACGGCTTTGTCGGTACTGTTCATCGCTTTGGGACTCCAGAGTCGCTCAGCGGTGGCCGACGCCCGGGGCCTGTAATCGACACATAAATTATAAAATTAAAAACATTTGTATTAATAATTAATAAGTAATATATATATTAATATACCATGTTCTACTAATAAGATTGGCGCCGTTAATATATTCTGACCAAAGCGCTGCTTCGCCGCCAATAACCAAATTGTTTTGCTCGACAGTACCGTTAAAGCTGTGCGGTTCGCACCGGTAGTACTGTTTCCAATCCGAGCCATAACTAATGAGATCCAAATACCAACACGAAGACAGTATAGCTCTGTAGCCCTCAGAGGTTA